CGGGGGGCGCCTGGTCATGTTGCCGCCTACCTGCCCGGTCGTGGGCTTCTGCTGGTGCCAGGTGTCGGTGCGAGCAGAGCTCTGAAGCCCAGTGAGTTTTGCCCCCACCGCTCCTCCCAGGGTAGCAGTAAGGAGGGTCGAGCTGGTGAAAACGTTATCCTCCTCAGGGAAAACATACTGAGAGCGAATGAAAGGAGAGCCACAGTGGGGCAGGGGGCCTGCAGCTTGGCTGAGAGAGCAATGTGATGACCGGGGGGGGGGGGGGGGGGGGGGGGGGGGGGGGGGGAGGGTAATCACTGGTGTGGGTTTAGTATCCCAAAGGGCTCAGCCTATGCCAGGCAGATGAGCAGTACCCAAAAAAGGAGATTGAGGGGCACATCGTACCCACCTTCCTCCCCAGGTCACTCCAAGAACTTGTTGAAAATCTCAAATAGCCTCTGAGTTGCTGGCTCTTTCCTGCCACCGTGGGGATCTCAGGAGAGAACCATCCAGTGAAGAACTTGCGAACAGTTGACTAAATGGAGAACATCAGTACATGGCCAATGTGCAGTCACCCGCGGTCACTAGGGACCAAGCCCATGTCCCCTTTTCCAAGAGCATCACTAGGTCTTCTGAACATCAGTCACCACTGGGGATTCTTAGGCGTGTGTCTGAACCACCCTGAGACATCCCTGGGCCCCACTGCCAAAGTTTCCAATCTAGAAGGTCCGGGAAAGGGCTTGCAGATTTGCATTTCTAACAAATTCTCAGGTGATGTGATGCTGCTGGTCCAAAGACGCGTGTTGAGAAACACTGGTTAGGGCCATGGGCCGTGGGTGATGGGAATACTTAAAAGGCCAATGTCTGATGGACCTGTTGGTTGTCTCCATCTTCCCTCCAGCGCCAAGTCCCTTTGTGCTCTCAGCACTGCCTCTACGATAAACCCAGTCCTTCAGAGTTTTGTCTCTCTTCGTAACTAGAGAGCAAGTTTACCCGTAGTTTTGGACTTCCACGGCGTCAACCAGACTACAGGTCTGCTAAAATGGGTTTGAGGTTTAGTTCTTTGAAAAGTGGGTTTTATCTCAAGGGTAGTGAAAGTGGCCAAGGTGAGGGGGTGGGGTGGCAGGACTGGACCAGGAAATAATCCAGTGAGGGCCACCCTTGGGTGGCCCAACACTCTTGTCTCCATTTCCATCTTCAGTACAGATGGAGGGAGGTATTTAATAGGTACCTCTCTGTGCCAAAAGATGGGCAAACTTCCAAGATCCATGGGGGAGCAAGCTGATTGAATCACCTGTGAGCTCCTGTTCAGCCCAGAAAGGGGGCCGAACATCTTGATCGGGATGCGAGGTGGGAAGGTGGGACTATTTTACTAGCTACTTGCAGAACTCCCTGTTGTCTTCCAGGTGAGAGGGATGAGCCTACTAGCACCAGCCTGAGAGGGCCGATGCCACGCGTAAGGGAGGGCACACGTCTGAAACTGTGTCTGACATATGGGATGTGCCCAATAAATGGTGGCCGAGAGGACCTGGGTGTGTTCTGGGGCAGCCCGGGGATAGGCTCGTGCTCTGCTAACAGGGGTTTTGAGGGACACGGAGTCTTTTCTGAACCACGTGTAGGTCTGTAATGATGCGTGGAACACTTTGCAAAAACTGCTTCTCAGGGGACATCCCCTCAGGAAAGGCTCTCGATCTGCTCAGAGTTACGTGGCTTTGGCTCTAGAAATGGGAGCCCCCTTCAGAAACCAGGGAAGGGGGGCCCCTCAAGCGTGGGCTTCTCCCTCCCCTGCCCTGACATGTCTGGCAGCCCAGAAGCCTAATAATTTACACAAGGGACCCGTATCACTTATCTCCGAAGTTAATCTGTGATCATTTTTGGCTGTGGCCTCGCAGTTTTAACTTTCTGAGAAACGAAAACCAGTGGAGTCCCAAGAGCTGGGCACCTCGGTGTTGTTGAATACACTCTATCCTCCTGGGCGGCTGTTTCGAAATCTCAAAAAGTTGGCTCCCAACCCTGTCAGACTCCACCATGAGTCAGCACGAACAGGATGTGAGTGCCTGGCCTGTCATTTTCCCAAGCGGTGACCAAGACTCTGGTGCAGAACAGGCTCAAGTGTGTGATCTGTACATGGGTGGCTGGGGGCTCCGGCTTGGCCTTTCAGCGGTGAGACATTGACAGCACCATGGATGTTACAGCAAACTGAAGTCTCTGGCTTTGCTCCCCCGCCCCCGTGCCCCGGTCCTTACTGCCTGGGAAAGAGGCTTGGGTGAAACCATCCAGTGAACCATCTGGTCTGGGGGTGGATGTCTGAGCTACTGCTTTCTTCCCCCTTCTCAGTTTCCCAGGCCTGGAGCCTCTCCTCTGCCATTAGGAACGGAAAGGGAAGGATCCGGGAGCTAGCTCAGGGAACATCCAGAAGGTCGCCTGGGCTCCATTTCGGGTCCACGACGAGGGCTTGTGTTTGCGGTGTGATGTTTGTGACCCTGGGGCCGTGCCTCAGATCTGAAGGAAAGTGAAGTCGTGTGTGCAGGGGGAGACCTACGGGGGGCGCCCTTCAATACTAGAGATGTAATTCAGCCAGACTGGGCGTGAGCACGGGAAGAACATGCGACCTTTGGGACTGTCCAGTGTGAGGCTGGTGGTTTCCACCAACTATCGGTGGATGCTGGCATGTGGGAAGCCACATGTGTGACTGGCTCTTAATTAGGGGCAAATCTTTTAAAGTTCCTGAATGGGCTCTCTTAGGTTGTTTTTTGAATGGTAACTACATAGCCGGCCAACATGGAGCCATTATGGATTTTACTTATCCATGCAAGAGCTCCTGAACAAGCTAGCTCTGAATGTGGGGACCAGGTAGGAGGGATCCACATCTCGGTCCCAGCAGGGTCCCTTCCAGTCTGATCTTAGGACAGTTGCCAACTTCCTCCCTGCGGGTGCCTGTAACATGAAGGTTGAGCACATGATCCTTAAAGCCCCGCCACGTGTCACTCTGTGATTTTGGTCAAGGACTGCATGGTTGGATGTCTGTTACTGGAGTCTGCCCAGGCTGTCATACTTTGGTGTTTCATCCCTCAGAAGTGGGGTAACTGGAGGACAGCACAACGGTGACACTAGAGGACCCAGGTTTTCCCTGGCTGACACATTTCTTCGCTCCTATTTTCCCTTTGCCCACCCAGGAAGGCACTGCATACGAAATCTTGGGGTCAGTTTCCAGACGTTAGGTCACAATAGAAAATGCCAGCTCATAGGACACAAGTCAGGAAGCTGGTTTTCCCAACAGATTCATCTGGGCAACGTTCTTCCCAGAATGTTAGATACCACAGAGCCAGATTTATCACCTTTCAGAAAGCCCGGTATTTCACTGCCACTGGCAAATGGGGCCCTTGACAAAAAAACAAAAAACACAAAACAAAACAAAACAAAGCAAAACAACAATAACAAAAACCCTCAGGCTGCAGGAGTTGATGTGAATCAGCTAACGCATTTGCACAGAAGGTTAGGGGAAAGGTAGAAGGAACAACGATACAGAGTTTCCAGAAATAAATTACAGACTATCACAAGTGCCACGCAAGTGTTGGGAACAGCAGGGACGATGAGTCTTAAGGGGAGATTGAAACTCTGCCACTCAATAGAACTCTGCCGGCAAAGGCTCCAAAGTCTCCTTGTGCAAAAAGGGTGTGGGAAGCACACAATGAATGAATTTCAACAGCTTTCTTTATTTCCTAGCTTCTCAGCGTCTTTTGTATGCTACTGTGCTTTGTGAATGAATCTCCAGGGGGAGGATGGAGTTTTTCCAAAATCGGGCACCCCTTTCCTCCCTTTTTACAGAGAATTTTGCGCCATTAACAAAGGTCAGGAAATGGGCAGGGGCAGGGGCAGCCGGTTTTCCTGGGAGACTCAGGGCTGCATCTTGGGCAGGTTGCACATGGAGGGGACGGCAGACCCAAGGAAGCTCTGAGTAGACAGGCAGAGCCCGTATCTTCTCTGCCCATCAGCAAGCAGTGCCCGGTCAGAGAACACGTCTGCAAAAGCACAGACTGGTGTGGATTTGACCTCCCTCCCATGGCAGTTCTGTCTCCTGCCTTCTCTTCCTCCCCTGGAATGTCTGAGCCACAGATTTAAACGCAAAGCTGGCTTGCAGGGCCGTGATCTTTGGGAGAGGGGACATCGTCTATCTTCCTGCATTGACCTGTCCCTCTGCCTGCCTTTGGAATGATCCTTTCACTTGTTTGGGAACTGAGAATAAGCTTCCGCAAACTACCTGCTGCTTGGGAGCCAAACCGTACTGGTCTCAAGTGGCAAAGTGGTTTCAATTAGACCCTCTGTCCTGAGAGCTGTGTCAGCCCTGTGCTGTCCTCAGGGCTTTTGTATGGTCAGGGGCCCCTTCTCCCTCCACCTCACTGAGACTCCTTGGTGGAAGTCGCTCCATTCGCGATGTTTTGGTGCACCTGCTAATTCTCTTGGGATGGAAAGAGGACAGGGGACCAGAAGTTCAGCCTCCATATTCCTTGTCCCTCCTCACTGGGCTGCAATTCCCCGGTGACCTCTCTCACGTCTCTCTGGACCCTTGAGGAGTGCTGCTCGGTGTAGCACCTGGGCAAACACTGAGCAAATACCAGACTTGTCCTGAAAGTCCTGTGTGACCCTTTAGCAAGGCCAACAGGAGCACGTAGGGGAAGAGCCTCAATGTGCCCCAGCAGTAGACCCTGACCCAGAAGGTCAGAACTAACTTCAGCTTTCAGTAAACAGGTAGTGGGCTTCTGGGAACATCTGCCTTTTCTGTCTCTTGTGAATTATTTTTAAACGAACGCCCTGCTGCCCACCCGCCCCCCCCCCCCATCATCAAAGCCCGCAATTTTCGTTGATTATCGCTGTTTGAATAGGTGGTGATAAATTTGATTCCCCAGCTCACTGTGGCATTTATGATCTGTCTTTCCCTTTTCGGTTTCCATGTACTGGAGTGACTGTCTCTCAATGCGGTTGGCAGTGACCTGTGTTTTTCATGCATGTTTTTGTTTCAGAATAACTGGGAGGTGAAACAAGAAGCTCTATGACGCAGTTGATCGAAAATGACACAGACACAGAAAAGTCAGGACTCGGCCCCCTCCAGTGCCTCCACCTGCTGCCCACAGCCAGAGTGCAGGTGAAGGGTTTCCCCTGGGGCTTGATCCTAACTAAACCCCGGAAGACGTTTGGAACTCTTTTTCCACACCTACTCTAATCGTGGCCTGTTAATGATCACACTAAAATCATCACTAACTTTGAGCCTTCTACTGGAAACCTCTGTCTTCTCAGCTGCCTCCTTTTCTTCCCCCACACCTCAGTCACCTTCGTTCCACGAGGTTTCTTGGGCTCATACTGTTAAGGCATGTTCTAGAGTTGAGTTGGATGGGACCCACTCTGTCCCTCCCCCTTCCCAGCACTTACCAATATCAACAATTATGCTGTTTGTTCACTCATTAATTGGCCGTGTACCTCTCAACCTGCTTTCCAAATTTCAGTTCAATAAAGGAAGATTCTAGTCTGTCTCATTGCCCAGTCTGTCCTCAGCACCTGGCGCTCTGCTCAATAATTAGGTGTTGACTGGATCCATCATCTTATCACTTCTCATACCGACTCTGTGATATTGAGTTGCCCAGTATTCTAACCACTGTTTGGTGGATGAGGAAATTGTGAATCCATTTACCTCTGGTGATCTAAGGGGGTAAATGGAGTGGCCAAGGTGGGGACACAGGCTTTCTGTCAGTATACTGGCCGGCAGGAAAGGTTGATCATAAACTCTCTATTACCTGGATAATCAGATTCTCACCTGAAACCAAGTTTTGCCTTGCAAATCAATGTCCTTAAGTTCAATCTCATTTGCTTATGTTCCTGGAAGATTAAAGGCAACCATGTAGCAGAGGGATGCGTCCTCAGTGGGGAGTCTGGAGTATGGGGCCCTTGTCCTCGCTCTGCAAGCTGTTGCCTGGGTGAATCATCTAACTTCTCTAGGCACTACTTTCCTCGGCAGAACACCAAGAAGACCAGATGATCCCAAAGATCCCACCCTGCCCTGAGGTTCCTTTCCCTTCTCTGCCAATTCTGTTTTTCAGAGTCTAGAACTCTGAGGAGGCAGTGCAGAAAGGTATCGTGGGGAAACACAGGCAAAACCCCTGAGAATACACAGAGCCCAAGCCCAGTTGTGGGTTTACGGACGTGCCCCATGGGGTGCTCACACATACCGAAACCCCTTTAGACACATCCCTGTCCTGGTATATTTCGTTCTCAAGAACAACAGGAGGAGCAAAATAAATTGAACACACAATTCTAGATGGATGGGGCAATGGTTCTGAACCCTGGCCAGACATCAGAATTACCCAGGAGTTTTCAAAAATCCAAATGCCCAGGCTCCACCAGCACCATTCACAACAAAATTTGGAATGGTGGGGGCAGACATGAGTATTTTTTTTTTTTTTTTTTGCTCCCCAGGTAATTCTGTCATGTAGCCAAGGTGAAGAACGGTTGATCTGGGGCCATGTTGCCCAATATGGCTAGTAACCACGAGCCACATGTATCTCCTGAAAACTTAAAACGTGGCTGTGTGACTGAGGAGCTACATTTGTAATTCCTTTTTATTTTAGTTAATTTAAATGTAAATATCCACATGGGGCTGTGCTTGTTGCATTGGAAAGCACAGATCTAGAACACAGGTATCATCACAGAAAGTTCTACCAGACAGCTCTGTCTGGGTGAACTCTGAGGCCTATAACCACCAAGCGAAGTTACACTGAGTGCAAGGGAAGTTTAAGGTAATTATCTCAGTCTGTTAATTTGACTAGGGCCCGCTCTCCTGTCTTGGGCCTGCAATATATTTTTCATCCACCGCTTGAGCCCGGGCCTGGGCAGCAGCAGGAACAACACGCTTTCAAAGCAGTGCATGGTAGGATCCAGAAGAATTTACAATACCTACAAAGGTCCAAGGCTCTGACTCAAGTCATCTGGCATTTACTCTGGCTATCCCTTCGGTTTGCATCTTTGAAGCCCCAGCTCTGGAAAGGGAGCTGTCTGAATGATTGTTTCATTACCAGAATGTAGGACAGTGGGAAGCAGGCCTTCCAGGAAGAACTTTTGGAAAAGCAGATTGCCCGCGGGGGGGGGGGGGGGGGGGAGGGGTGGAGTTTTGCAGGAGTTTGGAGTTTTGTAGGAATTCAGGCTTTGAGATGGGCTCACTGAGGCCACTCAGCCAACTCAGCCAGTTTGGGGTTACAGCTGGAGAAACAGAAGCCAAAGCTGAATCATTTTCTGCTTATCACTCAGAGACTGTCAGAGTTTTTTTTCTTTTTTTGGAGGGAAAGCACCTTACAACAAATAATAATACTATTTTGAATTTCGAAGCTTTCCCTTTTTCAAAGCACTTTACCACCTCTGACTTATTTTGTCCTCACAACAAGGCCATAACCTAAGTAGGGAAAGGGTTTTTAGTGCCTGTCTAACACCCTGAGCAAAAGCTCAATATTATGGAAAGAATTAAATAGTAAAAGTGGAGACTCTGGGGCATTATTTTGTCCTCTCTGGTCACACTCAAGCACGTGGCAGCATAGCTAGAACCAAACATACCTGAATGTTGCAGTCTTACAGTGGATTGTGTTTTTCAAAAGAACATAGGCTTCACATTTGTTCTGTCTCATTTCACCCTAGCTTTCTAACTCCTGCGAGTTGATGGTTGGAGGCCATTTTTTCCTCAGAGGTTTGTGTGACTGGCAAAGGTGATAAATACACCTTCAGTGTCTCCCCACCCCCACCCCCAAGTTAGTTTTAAAGTGGAGTGTGGGACAGAACAGAGGACAGGGCCCCTGTGGGTCTCCATGGAAATATCTCTGCTTCCCTCCAAAGGACAGAACTGGAGCAAAAAAAAAAAAAAAAAAAGCCATAGACCGACACGGTCACCTTGGAGCCTTCAACTCTCTCTACGTGTAGAGCTGCCGAGAATCGTTTCAAACCTCACTTGCCAGTGGGGAGAAAACACCCAAGAGTCTGTGTTGAGATCGAGTGGGTGGCCTAGCCAGGACGGCCATCTCCAGCAGCGGGCATGGGAGTAGAGGTAGCAGGACCGAGGTAATGCCATGGTCTGACCTCTTTGGGAAGGTTGTCCCAGCCACTGTGAATTCTCCTGGTCATTCCATCATCTGGCCCATCTTTGGTATCTTATGTACCTAGGATACGATGAGAGGTTTTCAGATGCTTTACTGAAAGCAAGACGCACTTTCTGGGGCATTCCCCTAATCGACTGTTCTGGTGAAGCTCGTCAAAACAGGAAATGAGGTTAGCATGGAATGACTTTCTCTTAGAGAACTCGTGGTGCCTCTTAAAGACCACCACTTTCTTCCCAAATGCTTGTGAACTTTGTCTGATGCCTCTTCTGGGTTTGCCCGGAAACTGGAGTTGAGTCTGCTCTTCTGTAGTTTTTAGAACCCGTTCCTTCGGAAAATGGTGGTGATACTTGCTCGTTCCCAGCCTTCCAGCCCCTCTCCCTTGCACCTCAGTATCTCGAAGATGTCTGCAAGTTGCTCTGGAGTTAGAGGTGCGCATACCTCAAGCCCAGCAAGAACGTGGCTCCGTGCACGTGCCCTTGGCTGAGGTGGTCACACGGGGGCTTTAGGGAGCTCCCTCCTCATGCTGCTTGGCCCCCATGCTCCCTTTTCATCAGCTGTGCCAGTAAGAGAAACGAATCCAGCGGACGAAAACTTAGTGAAAACAATCCACTTTCTTGCCCTGCTCCACGTGTGGGCATCTGGCTCAGAAAGGCACCGTAGTTGAAACAGCTGTGCCCAGCTTCCTTCATGTGAATCCCCACGCAGGGTTCTTTGACTCAGTTTTCAAAAGCAGTGAGGGTTTCATAGTCTGGGCGAGCGGCAACACGCTTATCTCTGCTGAGGCTTTCTGACAAATGGCTTGACCTCAAATTTCTAGATTTACATGTCTTTTTGTTAACACTGAGATCCTTTCGAGTCACATTTGCTTTTCCCCAGTAGAAGGGAGTCAACCTGGAGAACGTCTGGCCTTGAGTCACAGGTGTCCACGGAGGACTGATGTCTCCAAATATGAGAAGTGGATTACCTCCTGGAGGTCTGCCTATGCATAATGCTCTCACTTCTGTAATCAGGGGTCTGCCTCCCTTTTAACATGACGTAGCAGGACCTCAAAAGCCACTCTGGGTCCCCATGATGAGTGGGACCTGCTCTCCTTTAACCTGGGGTCCCTGCCTCACTTTTTCCAGGTCTACAACAGGTACCGCCTTTTCAGGGACGGTCACTTAAGTGGTTGGATGAATAAACGTGCACCTAGAACAATCCCAGCTACCACCTGAGGCTTTCATTTGTTCGGGACACAACTTTTGGTGGTTCACACGTTACAGTTAGCTCTTGAACCACATGGGGGTTGGGGGCACCAACGCCCCACACAGTTGAAAATCTGCCTATGGCTTTTGATCCCCCCCAAAGCTCAACTACGAATGGCCTACTATTCACCGGAACCCTTACCAATAACAAACGGTTGATTCACACATACTTTGTTATACGTATTATTTTTACCAGGCAGTGAGCCTGAGAAAACAATATTAAGCAAATTACAAAGAAGGGAAAATACGTCACAGTGCTGCACTGTAAAACATCCAGGTATAAGTGGGTCTGCTCAGTTCAAACCCATGTTGTTCAAGGGTCTGCCTCATCACAGGCCCCAGAGATGGCATTATTATCCTTTAGTTTCAGTTAAGAAAACTGAGTTTCGGGGCACCTGGGTGGCTCCGTCGGTTAAGCGTCCGACTCCTGATTTTGGCTCAGGTCATGATCTCACGGTCGGGTGTGTGAGTTCAAGCCCCGCATCGGGTTCTGCACTGACAGTGCAGAGCCTGCTTGGGATTCTCTTCCTCTCCGTCTCTCTGCCCCTCCCCTGCTCGTGCTCTCTCCCTCTCTCTCTCAAAATAAGTAAATAAAATGTTAAAAAAAAAAAAAAAAAAAAGAGCGTGACTAGTAAGTGACAGAGGAAAGATAGCTGAACATAACTGAAAACAGAAGGCAATCAAAAGTCCAAGGGTCCCTGCCGAGTCCTGGGCACCCCCTCCGCTGAGCAGAACTTCAGGCCCACGCGGCAGCCACCTGAGACTTTTCCTTCCTCCCTCAACACTGGCAGCCATGTTGGTCTTGCCTCCTGCCCTCTTAGCAGAGGGTCTTTGGCGGGGCGGGGGGCAGGATGTGGATACACTTTGGTTCTGCAAACTGCCCACTACTCCAAGTGTGGTTGGAAGGTCAAAAAAGGCAGAGGTCCCACCCTGGTCCCTGGCGTCAGAATCTGCCTTCTCACCAGATCCCAGAAGCCCTGTGAGCACAACTGCTAGAGCTCAGCTCTCTGGGCCTCTTGAGGTCAGAGCTCTGTGGTAACACCTTCTACCTCCAGAGCCCAACGTGTGCCTGCCTTACGTAGGTGGTGAGGAAATGTTGGTAAAGTGAATTTGGTCTTTATTCTTCTGAGAAGCTAGTTGGGGAATTTGGGG